AGGCCCGATGCCATGGAGCGCTTTAAAGGTGGTAACTAACACCTTAAAGCGCACCCGGAAAGCCACTGGTAACCAGTGCAGCTCGCGCAGCAGCGGTGTTACATGGGAGCGACGAGTCCCTCCCAACACCGCCCGCGCGGCCGCATTCTGGACCAGTTGCAGTCTCCGGATGCTCCCCACAGGGAGCCCCATGTATAGAACAAACTTTCATTCTTGATTAAATTATCTTTCCATTGATATATAATTTTATGGTACTACTCCAAAAAAAGTGGTGTTATTAGCCATCAAATCTCAAAAATACACTTTTCCCAAAAGATTTCCACAATTTTGGCCACTACTGTAGTCTTAATTGTTATAGATACCACAATAAAATGGGCAAACCAAAAGAACAACCAACTGCCATTTTTTTAATCTAGGAATAGGCCAGCAATGGTTTTTCCAATATCTAGGAGCACTGCATCTGGAATCTCCCAAAGACTGTTATCAAAATGTACTCCTTTTAACAGCCAACTCAGTGTTTCTAATGCTGACAAGACAAGGTGCAAAAACAGCCACTAAGAAAGAAGGAAGAGATGCTAGAAGTCTTGGAGGAACACAAGGTTTACAGAAATAGATCGTTTCGTGGTTTAAGACCCACTTGTACAATTTAACCATCAAGCAGTCACATCCCATGGATGTTCAATTGCCCAATATACTCGAAGAGTTCCACCTTCAGTGAGATCTGGACATTTGTCAGTAAAACATGACTGATGGCTGGGAACTCAAGACGGCCAGGATTACCTATCGCAGACATGTCAAACACAAGGCCCGGGGGCTGGATGCGGCCCGCGAAGTGGTTTTATGTGGCCCGCGAAGCCATTCTGGAAACAGTGAGGGAACGGCCCCTGCTGCTTTGGCCCTGGCTCTGGCCAGCCGGGAGCCAATGTACAATTTTGTGGTGGCCATCTATGCTGAAACACATTCAGTCTTAGCTCCACAAGGCCGTCTAGAAACAGCGAGGAACCAGCCCCTGCCGCGTCGGCCCCGCCCCCTGGGTGCATGCTGGGGAGGTGTCACCCTTTGTGAAGAATGAAGAAATGGACCATGCCTTGGCACTTGCCCCGGTCCCACCCCCTTCTGCCAGAGACCCTCAGATCTGTCCCACTCCTGCCCAGGCCCCCACAGGCACCCTCGATGCGAATGATGTAGAGCTGGCCATGCCCACCCAGTAGGCCACACCCACTCCATCCACGCCCACCCAGTAGGCCACACCCACCCTGGCCCCCCAAGGGCAACCCCAATGCTGATGCGGCCCTCAATGAAATTGAGTTTGACACCCCTGACCTACCGCCTGCATGTTGAATATGGTGGTCTGCGAAATAATCATGGGCCAGTAACGGGTGTGTTTCTCTAGCTGATCTTTGGCTCGTTCCAAAGGAATCTCAAGGCTGTCATCGTTCTTGTACCTAGGTTCTAGAAAAGGAGCCAGCCTATTTTCTCTCATAAATTCACCAAAATCCTGTATATAGAAAAAAATAAAATAAAATTAGCAGACTTTCCAAGAGATGGCTAAAATATAATATCCATTTCTGTCACTACATCTTTTTAAAATATTACATTAATTTGGCTTGAAAGAGAGGTTCATACTGTTCCATGTGAATGGTCAAAGGTGCAAAAAAATTACAACTTTAAAAAAAAAGCACTCATACACTATTTGCAAAAGCTTTTCCATTCCAGATTATTAAAATGAATATATATGTGAGCATGCGTCTATTCTTTATTTGAATAAAGACATTGCTTTTATATAATTACAATAATACTACAAGCTAGAACGGGTACCTTAAGACCAGACTTTACTAAAGAAAAGAAAGTTGAAGACTTACAAATCTTTTTTCAGACATCAAGTAGG